GTGTGTGTGTGTGTGTGTGGGTGTGTGTGTGTGTGTGTGTGTGTGTGTGTGTGTGTGTGTGTGTGTCCGTGTCTGTGTGCTTGGCTAGCACCGGTGTTGCACGCTGGATCCATGCTTATCTGTCTTTTTCTCTTTAATTCTGTGGAGAGCTGCCCATTTCCGGTGTGGTTTGCAGTTGTATCTTCTACTCCCGCTGCAGTGATCTTTGCTTAAGATGCATTTATTTGTCATTTTTGATCTTTGCTATGTTGTATTCATTTATTAATAGAAAGGGAGTTCAGATACAATAGCAAAATGTTGGCAGGCAGTAAACAATGTGTACTGAATCATATCCTGCTTCTCAACCTTCAAAGCTCATCGTCTTTAATCAATATACCCACAAACCCAACCAACCCTTTTCCTGCATGAAAAAAACTGCTGTGATACTTACAAAGATGGTGTGATACTTATCCAACCAAACAACAAAAGTGTACACATGCATACAGTATATAGAAATGTTGAGCTTCAATTTGATCAAATTCAGTCAAAACAAATAAATTGCATTAAATGTGAGTAATTAATCAAATTAATCACTTATATAAAAATGTGTTGAGAAATCCCCAAGTAATATTACATTAGTGTGGCAGACAAAGCACTGAATAGGCAAAATTGGCTTTAGAAGTCAATATATTGCTTGTTTTATTTCCATTACATGCAATTTTTTTTAATTATTGGTCTGAGTAAACATTCTCTAGATATATATACATCTTTGGTGGTTCCTTCTTCTGCTTCCATGCCATTTCAACCACTTTTCAAGATTCATTTTAAAAGCTGTTAAAAATGTGCCTCAAAAGCCCTGGATTATGTTTCATTCCTACATTCTGTCCAGCTGTTTCAAAATGCAAGAACGGTTCGTCTGCAGACGGCTCTTTACTCATTTCATGCTGCTTGCTCTCGACAAGTGTGGTAGCAGACTTGCAAAAACCTGCTTTCCATTTGGTAGTACTTGACGCTTCAGTTGCTCTGATGGTAGCAAGCGTTTTCATTATGTAAGACAGCAAGTATGATTAGATGCTTTTTTTAAATAATTGTGTTAAATTTGTGTTAAATTTGTTAAATGTGCTACTAATAATAGTGTTTTATAGAAAACAATAGAAAATGGTAAATGTAGCCATCTCTTCAATAATGACAATGTACTAAGTTACTTTTGTACCATAATGTTTGAAATTGTATCATAGAAAACACATACAAGGTGTTTTGAGATGTTGAGAATGTGGCCCTTGTATGAACTATATTATGAGGAAGATATATTTCCCATTTTAGTTTCGATAAGATGCGCGTTAAATATTGCATGCGATTTATCGTGCAGCCCTAGTTTCTAACTAGATTTGTGATTAGATATAAATCACTTGAAGATATCAAGAGCATTAGGTAGAGATTTCTTCGTATTGGAAAAACATAACAGCAATAATTGGTTCTATATTCGGCAAGAGTCTAATAACCTGCGGCAGTGTTCCAGGGATATAAAATAAATAACTGGGATAGTGAATTGTCTTGCAGACTGTCTCAAGAGATTCTGAATGGGAGCTGTTGCCACAGTTACTGAAGTGTTAGAAAACATGACTTTTACCATGTCAATCGAAAATTTACCCAAGCCTATACATTTTATTGCTTCCAACAAATATGGCCATTCAATAAACACTTTTTCACAGCTGATATCACATCTTAAAATCCAGATATCACATCTTATATTTGCAGAGTTCAGAAAATAATCTTATACCTGCGCAATGAACCTGTTAAATGTTGTCTACCGGTAAGCTACATTTAGATGATCAAAAGAATCAGTATCTGCCAAGTAGCTGTTCATAGAAATGGCAAAATGACTCATAATGCCTAGTTAGGGTGAGGTGACTCTGCTTACGTCACCATAAGAAGGAATATTATTTTCCAATCATGCTGCGTGATTCTCCGTTTTATGTTCCCGGTATTCTGAGCAACAACTACCGCATAGCATAATGGCACGTATTTGTTTAAAAACTAAGAGGTCTTCTCATAAGCCAGGTCTTTCCGCTAGTTTTCACGTCATTTTCCAGGCTAAATGTTTGTCTTAACGAACCTGGAGAATTATTCGAGAGACCAAGACGTCATTCATTGTTTTTCATATCTCAGGGCCACAATGTTGTGCTGTAAATCAATGCGCTAATATTTGCCACTTTCTCTTTTCGTGTTGATTCACATGATGTTATACATTCATTTCATGAATGAACAATTCATTAGTGATAAACATTTCTGTAAACTGTGAACATGTGCATGCTTAACTTCAGTTATTTCCACCATTTACTTTCGGTTTGATGTCATGAGTAAAACATAAAAACCGAAAACCCCATTTAGCCTGAAGCATGCCAAGTGTATATGTATGTATTTCATAATAAAAAACAATACAGTCTTGGTCAATCAATGTTCAATAAAATGTATAATTTTTTTACTACTGCGTTACGGATTCTCACTAAAACTGTGATTGAACTGACTGGTTGTCAGTGACAGAATGTTTTAAACCCTTAAATATTCATCAAGACATTCCTAACTAAAGTGTTTAACTCTTATTTAATAAAGCTGCCCACATAACTTTTTATGTCTGCCATGGTTAGTCTGTCATTTAAACAATTCAATGAAGATGGTCAAAATAACTTGATTTAATAAAGCTTTCGTTCTGGAGGAGTCCAATTTAGATGACTCACTCCGCGGTGTTAGCATTCAAGAAAAAAGGTGGCGGCAGCCCTGTGACACTGCTGTAACAGTCAACAAATGACTCAGACTGAAATAATTAGTTCACAAACAGACAAGGGTCTCTCATCTGCAAATTGTTTTCATTCATGAGACCCTGATAATTTGCTGTTAAATTATCCTGAATGGCGTCATAACTTATGTAAGCTACCGTTTATTGGCCTCATTTCTTAGCATCCTCGCTCGGGATTTGAGCGCAAATTAAGGTCCTCTAGTTGCGGTTTTGTGGTTTTATTCAGAGCTCAGCAGATGCTGTTACTTCATTAACACCAGACTGTTTCCTCAGGACTCTAGTAAAAGCCCCAGACCCAGACCCAAGTTCCTTCCAAAAAGAAAAACGGAGAGAAAACATTCAGATGATGAGTTCCTGCTCAGAAAAAGTAAGTATATTAAAACGCTAAATAAAATTCATTTAGTTCCCAGAACTAAGATCTTGCAAAAAAAAAAAAAGTCCCCGTAGTGGTAGAATTGCGGGGATTTGAGAACAAACAAACAGTAGCTTTGCCAACATGTATTTAACGTACAATCAAAAAGAAATACAGATACATAATAAATTGATGGATCGTCACTGTGAAAATTTGATTTCTGTCACATGCAGGCACAGCAGCTCTGGAGGAGGATGCACAGATACTCAAAGTGATTGAGGCCTACTGCACCGGAGCCAGTCTCCACCAATCCACCACAGGTAGACCTGTCTGTCATATGTACTGTATAACTAAGCTACTGAATTTTTAATAACGGAAATGTATTGTTACAGTTTAACAGTGTGATTTCATTAGAAGATTTGATTTTGTTTGCACAGCTGTTCGTAAGGAGTGCATCCCCCAGGTCCTGCTTCCAGAAGAAGAGAAGATTATTGTTGAGGAGATCAAGAGCAATGGCCAGACGATCATTGAGGAAAAGTATGTTCAGTTATCTGATATCAGAATTACTTGATTTTTAGCATTGAGTCCATTTAAGAAAAATGCTTATATTGTAGTTTGTTTTATTAGTAACATAGAAATAGTGCAGAATTGTAAATATTTCTTCCTTTTTTGGATTAGTGACCTAGAAATAGTGCAGAATTGTAAATATTTCTTCTTTTTAATTTTATAGTAGTGACCTAGAATTAGTGCACAATCGTTAGTATTTATTGCATTTTTTTTTCTTTTTGGATTAGTGACTTGGAAACAGGGTTACAGGGTAACGGAATACATGTAATGGCGTTCCGTAATCAGAATGCAAAACACTGGTTTCTTTTATTTTTTATATAGTTGCATAAAAAAACAAGGTAATCAGATTACAGATACATTTTGTACAAAATGGGAATACTATCAGGGTTACAAAGGTTTCATTTAAGTAATGAATAATTGAAGACAGGCCATTGAATTATTAGAAAACAATGATCCAAGGTGGTGATGCGGCCACGATGTGAAGTGTCAGACTAATGCAGTTATTAATGCAGTTATGAGAGAGAGAGAAAGAGAGAGGGAGTCAGAATAATGCAGTTATTAATGCAGTTATGAGAGAGAGAGAAAGAGAGAGAGAGAGAGAGGGAGGGAGTCAGAATAATGCAGTTATTAATGCAGTAATTAATTAGAGAGAGAGATTGATTAAGAATTGTGTGAATTACCCGAGTCTGTCTCTCAACAGTGTTCGGCAGCAGCGTCTCTACTAATAGCGAAATTGTAAATTCATCTGCTTCAATAACTGCAACGTTATTACATAACTACTGAGAAATGTCATGTAGCCTATAACAGCTCAACTATTTTACTGATAAAATCATCAGAGCAGCACTGACAGCTTGTTTCTGTGCGCGTGAATGTTTCTGTGTGCGAATGCGTGTCCGTCTTGCATGTGTGTGCATTTGAGAAAGAGAGCGGGGAAAGAGAGAATGTGCTTTCTGTACATAATAAAACATAATTTTGGGTCAAAAACAGGGAAATAATTTGTCATTTTAATCCTATTGTTTAATATATTTGTTTGCTTGGTCATTGTCGTTGAGGGTTTTGGTTATTTTACTGTTGTATAAGGACCTTTGAAATAAAATAAATCATTTAGCGAAGCAAGATGGACATGTACTAGCACCATGTCGAAGCAGAATGTCCGATGACCATATGGAGCAAGCACTCTCAGTGTATCTGTTCTTATTATATTTGCTTGAGAAAAAAATGCTAATTTGCGTTCTTTTCTTAAATATTTTATATTGCGCATCAAATAGTTTATATTTTGCATCATATACATAGTAAAATAAGTATTTTTGATTATATTACTTTTACTTGACTTCATTTACATATGTGACCTTGAAGGAATCCAAATGTAATCAGATTACATTACTTTCATATTGTGGTGCTTGGATAACATTACCGAATACTTTTTTTCATTAAGTAATTTGTAACTAATAGAATGCATTTTTAAAGTAACCCTCCCAAGCCTGCCTAGAAATAGTGCAAAATTGTAAATATTTCTTACGTTTTTATGTGTTTTTTTTATTTTTTATTAGTGACCTAGAAATAGTGCAAAATTGTAAATATTTCTTCATGTTGCGTCTTAATGTTTCTTTTTAAATCCTAAATCTTTTAACCCTAGATTTATTATTATTATACTCACCCAAAAATGAAAATTAGCCCATAAATTACTCACCCTCAAGTCATCCTAGGTGTATATGAGTTTCTTCTTTCAGACGAATCCAGTCAGAGTTATATTAAAAATTGTCCTGGCTATTCCAAGCTCTATCATTGCAGTCAGCGGGTGTTGCAGTGCTTCAGTCTAAAAGAAGTTAAATAAAAAGCGCCCATCCATTAAAAAAAGTGTCTCGCACGGCTCCGGGGGGTGAACAAAGGCCTCCTATAGCGAATCGATGCGTTTTTGTAAGAAAAATATCCATATTCAAAACTTAATAATCACTTTAATGTAGCTTGCGCCAACAGTCCTACACGGAAGCAGCTCCAGGCGGATGACGTATGAGTTCAGTGTTGTGCATGCACCGGTGAGTCTCGTGAAAACCAACGTTTGAAATCCTCGTTTTGTACTTCTAATAAGTGACCGTTGTTTTGATCTCTCTGCTGCGCTTCCGTGCGCTTCACTTCTGAGCGACGCATGCGCAAAGCTGACCTCATACGTCATCCGCCCGGAGCTGCTTTCGTGTACAACTGTTGGCGCAAGCTACATTAAAGTGATTATTACATTTTGAATATGGATATTTTTCTTACAAAAACGCATCGATTCGCTACAGGAGGCCTTTGTTCACCCCCCCCCGGAGCCGTGTGAGACACTTTTTATGGATAGGCGCTTTTTATTTAACTTCTTTTGGACTGATGCATGCAACACCCGCTGAGTGGCATTAAACAGCTTGAAAGATCAAAGACAATTTTTAATATAACTCCGACTGGATTTGTCTGAAAGAAGAAAGTCATATACACCTAGGATGACTTTAGGGTGAGTAATTTATGGGCTAATTTTCATTTTTGGGTGAACTAACCCTTTAACAGTTGCAACTTGAAATGTTCTGTTTTCCTTTTGAATATTTTAAAGAATGTTTTATATTTTATTGCTTTGCAGAAGTCTTGTTGATGCTGTTTATGCTCTAAAAGATGAAGTCCATGAATTAAGAAAGGTAAGATTGTACGTTATTGGAACCTCGTGTTGGCCTGAGCTATCACAGGCATTATGCTGTAATTTTCTGATGCCATGTGTTCGTGAATGCAGGAGAATAAACGGATGAAGCAATGTCTGGACGAGGAACAGAAGTCCCGTAAGGAGCTAGAGCGTATAGTCAGAAAGTTGGCCAAGCAAAAGAATGACTGTTCCTGGGATGAAGGAGGTCACTAAAGAACACTCGCCTGTTTCCCTTTGCCAGCTGCATGTATGTGTTTCCGTGTCTGTGTGTCCTCACAAATGTGTTTTTATGTGTTTTTTTCCATCACATTACACACTGAACGTTGCTTTTGGAAAGTCACCATGCTGGGGATTTTCAGCCATTTCTCGTCAAATGTTTTTTAAGGACAAGATGCGATAAGAAGATCAACTCTGTGATTAGTGACTGTGTTTATCTTGCCATACTGAAGAATATCACTGTGCGGTTTGCTTCACGCTCCTGTGATGTGACATTCTGAGAGCAAACCGGCAACTGTTCTAGAAGACCAAGTGAACTGTATTTTGTGATTTGGAAAACTTCAGATGATTGTCAGAGTCCTGTCCATTTTTTGTTCCGGTTCACTCCACTCCAACAAGAATCATCACAGAAAAGATGGTGGAATCTCTTGTTTTTGAACTGAACAAATATCTGCCTCACTTTATGACTGTTACTGGTCATGGACAAAAGAAATCCAATGACATTCAGCCCATGAACAGCATTCCGACTCAAGCCGCCATTGCACAAGTGAAAATATTCTGTTTATGGCGTAAGAGGAGATACTTGTGGTTGAACATTGCAGGATTCCACTGTTTCAACAAGTATTGCTCTTTTGAGACCCATTTCTGCTTTTATAATGTGAAAATGGTTGCTTTTAGGTCACAAATGAACAAGATTGAGATTTGTGGTTTGCACCTGATTGACATGAGATGCCCTACTTGCCATCTTGAAATGAGTTTGGTTTTTTATTTTAGTTTGAAGGCTTTGAATTAAATGCCTGTAATGCGTCATTGGGCTGTATATGTGTTACCCGGACAGTCACTCGCATCAGTATGGGTACACCGTATTTCTAAAAGAGCCATTATAATACTACATAATCACGCTTCTGATAATCATCACTAGTTTAAAGCTATCAGGGATATAGTTGTCAGAAATAGTTCGGTTTATAATACTATACTAATACGATACATCATATAATGTATGTATATCATATATACAGTATAAATATGTATAAATCAGATATTATGGCGAAAGGAAAAAATTTTAATGATAACAAAAATACAGTAGGAAACTTCATCCTCCTTTTTCAAAGGCTTGAAACTATTTCATATGTATCTTAAACCAAAAACAATCCAGAATGTTTGCAGATTTGGTACTAGGAGCCCTTTTAGGACTCAAAAAATCAAGTGTACGTAGAAACATACGGTACTTTAGGCACTGATGTTTGTTCCTCCCTTACCATATATTGGAGGCTCATATTAGAGTGACAAACAAATGTGGTTAGAACCCAATTTTATAGATTTTTTTTTTCAGCAAACTGCTCCCCATCAGCAATGTTTAATTTTTGTCCGGAATGAAATGGAGGCTGTGATGGATTGTAGTACAGTGCATTTAGTGGATTGTACTGTAGTTTAATAACATACAGATTGTTCAGCTGACAAAACATCTTTCCGAAGAAACTTGCGTTTTGAAAGTTCTGAGTTTTAGTAAATTATGTGATCTAGGAGCTTTATATAGTGGATGCCATGGTAAAGACAGTACGTCTATCTCTCACAGACTTGTTTTCATCCACGTTGAATTTAATATGGCATCTAATCTGATTTACAGCGGAGGTGCATTTTTTTACTCATTTGTATTCTGCCATAGTTGTGCGTGGTATGCGTGGTACTTTTTTTTTTTTTTCTTGAACTCTTGCTATTTTAACTGTAACTAGTTACAATTACACAAATTACACTGTGGAGTGCTAAACCTTTCAACTAATCATTAGCGATCATAACCGTGACTAATCTTTTCATTCGCTGTGGATCGGAGATCTTAAGCAGTGAAGAAATGCATGGAAAGAGCTGTAAAGATGAGCAAAACTTGGGTGGGGAGTTTTATTTTTAATGTTTTTAAACCCACCAGCGGTCACCTCCGGAGCATTGCTGTGGCAATTCAATGCAATATGCGACTGGTTTGTTGTTACAATTGCTGTGCAAGAGCCAGTTTTTCTCTTGGAAGGAGTATACTGTATAATATATTCTTCCGATTAGGCAATAAGATGTGCTCTGGGGCGCACAAATGTAATGCTGTTACTGTGGTACTGTGTGTAAATCTGTTTCATGTTTGTGTGCGTGTTTGTTTTTCCAGCAATTAACCTTGCATGCCATGTGGTACACATAGCCTTAAATATTATTTTAAAGTGTTAACCCTGATTGTATTGTTTTTGTTGTTGTTATTATGAAAACTCCTGAAGTTTTAAACCATCGGTCTAAAACTTTGACATCTGCAGTGGTAAATGTGATCTTTCTGATGGTCTGTTTGTGTGTGTGTAATGTGGAAGAGATTGAATTGTTCATTAGGTTATGCTAGTATGTATACCTGATATTTGCTCTAGGTGGCTACTGATCTCACTGAAATGAAATTCACTTTGTCATGTCATGAATGTGTCCGGGGATAAAAAAAAATTGAATAGCACTTTCAGGAGATCATAAATGAGGGTTGAAGAATGTCCATGTCAGTTTCCTCTTAAAAGTGCCCATGTCTGCAGAACACAAGTTTTATTTTTGCGGCACTGATCTATGCAATATAAATGCTATATATATATAATTTGTTTTCGTTTTTTCCCTAGTGCTTGTGTTTTTATTTTGTCTTCGTTTCAATAAGGATTTCTTTTAATAAAATAACATCATGTTAATAAGCTATACGTTTGATTTTATTTGCATCTAACTTACACACACACACACGAGGAAATTCCACCTTGTTGTGAAATACGGAGGTAATTAAAATGATGTATTTTCAATATGCTGTGTTAGTTTTTGATGCTTGAATGGAGTAAATGTACAGGCTAGAGTGAATGTAGTAGGCTGACAACTTCCTGTAAGCAGAGGCATCCGCGTGGCTCAAACGAGCACGCGTTTGGCACCTAAAACTCACTGTTTCCATGGAGGAGGATGGAATGCTGTAAAATAGGCACAGCAGTAGTCAGTTCAGGGTCGTATTATCAAATTGAAGTTAAAAACAGAACTGGTAGGCTTATGCGTCTTTCTCTTCGACTCGTCCTACACAGTAGTTTCCAAACTTCTCACAACCTCAATCTTACTATGTTAGGAAACACTTACACAACTCATGACCACTTGGAAACATTGGTAATAATATAAAAAATACTGGAGGACTTGAGGAGTAGTATAATAGGGAGGGCGGAAAAAATGTTTTGGCTCTTTTATTCAAAGTTACTTTTACTAATATATATAACCCACATATTATATATTAACATTTAAATAAGTACTTAGGAAGTACTATAAATAAGAATCGATCATCAATTATAATTGTCAAGCTTATACTAAAATAAATATCTTTATTATTAAGTCAATAGTTTATTATTATAGTTATTATAAAAAGAAGAGCAAACCAAAAAAAGGAAAACTACACGTAATAATAAATAATTTCAGACAAACACCACCAAACACTAGTGGTTTGAAAACATTCATGGTGTTCTTATCGGGTTGTATTTGCAATGAACAATATAATCGAAAGGATGTTCCCATATTCAGAAGGTTTCATGGATTCCTTGTTCGTCCTGAGCTTGGATTGTGGTTTGGTGTCAAGGAGAAGAGGTGGTGCAATGTCTTTCCCTTGAGATGTATAACATGACTGTATAATTATCCGTTTAATTATAGTGCCTTGATCCAGTCAGTCCCTGACCGTCTCGTATCATCCATCTCCCCCTTGACCGCTTCAGTTCCAGAGTGTTCTTTACCGCAATTTGAATAATCCAAAGCTGCAGGAGTCCCGGTTCACCAAGGATGTGTTTGTTACTGTAACATAGATCTGTTGGTCTTTCTCTAGATGGAACACCCCCGCCAGAGAAGCTGTACACAAATTTGGTGGGTTTGGGTTCAAACTGCAAAAAGACTTGAGTAGCTCCTTGCCTTGCTGTTTCTTGGGTACTGTGCTCCTTATGGATTGCTTTAATGAAGATAAAGGAGGATTTTTGGAGAAGGTGACCTGGGAATAGATTAAATAGATTCCGGGATACTGAATGGTCAACTTGTCCCGTTCGTTGCTGAGCCGTACGTCCTGTAGCAGCGAGTGCTCTTCATCCCAAAGAAGACTGCTTGTCTTCAAGAAGTCAGAAGTCTTATCTGGTGGTTTTAATACAAGGAGAAACCCATTATCAGCACACAATGGCTATAGGCTTAAGTTTAATTACATGATTTAATTGAATACTAAATTAATGATTCTAATACATTCTATTACCTTTATGCTCAGTCAGAGCAGTCATGTGTGCAGCTGGTCCAATAAAGTGTGGCCCTCCAGTTAACTTAGACACTGCAGGAGAAATACACAGCAGTTGTAAGTATACAATACAAAATAAAGGGTTTCAGTAAGGTTACAAAATATATCAAAAGTAATAGGACGCCACATTGCTTGCTAAACATTATTTTTATACAGGCACTAACATCCTAGCACAGTCAGTATTTAACAATACATTGTGCGATATGTTTTAGATCGTTTAGTGAATAAGGTTACCAGGTTGGCAATACTTACATTTTTCGTTTGCTTGTGAAACCTTTGGGAGGAAGTAAAAGAATATTAATGATACATAAAGTCATAGAGTTGTACACAATGTTTTCATATAATGGTTATGTTGTACGATTCACATCTAGGAGCATCAAAATCTTTTAAGCGTGACTTTAAACGCATGACATAAACATATAGGCCTACCTTTGCTATGACAGCTTTATATTTTTCCATCAGTTTGCCACATTCTGTCATTGAGTCTTCTCCCATACTGCTGTCCTCACAGTCCTGTAGTCTCTGTAGGCTGATGTCTTCATGATAACTGTCCTGGAGCTGCTGATGAAGGAAAATACATTTATTAATATGTTTCCCTTACTGCTTAAAGACTTTATAGTTAATATCTAGAAAGAGCTCTGACAAAAAAAACAAAAAAAAAACATGATCACAGAGAACACAGAATGTGAATTATATGACTTTTCATATATAATACGACAATGAAAATGTTTTTATAAATGTACATGATGCTGCCTGTCGACGTTTATTTCACGCAGCGCTACAAGTACAATTACCTAGATGTTATTGATTATTTGTAAAATATGGGTCCCACTCTATATTAGGTATTTTTAAACACTACACTCTTAAAAATAAAGGTGCTTCAAAAGGTTCTTCAAGCGATGCCATAAAAGAACCATTTTTGGTTCCACAAAGAACCATTCAGTCAAAGGTTCTTTAAAGAACCATCTCTTTCTTACCTTTTTATAATCTGAAGAACCTTCTTTCGCCACAAAGAACCTTTTGTCAAACAGAAAGGTTCTTCAGATGTTAAAGGTTCTTTATGGAACCATTTAGACAAAAAGGTTCTTCTATGGCATCATGAAGCACCTTTATTTTTAAGAGTGTATGTACTTAATAATTATAGACGTAACTACAGTAATTAATTACAGGATGGTATTTTCAAATATAAGTGCAATGTAAAAACATGTATGTACACAGGTGCATTGTAACAATGTATACAGACACTTAACATAAAGTAGGTCCAAAAGATATCATTTATATATGATAAAACATTGTCATATATTTGTACATCTTTAGTAAGCTTAATAATAAACGTGAAATGACAGTTATGTTTAGTTTTATCAACATTTCACCTGAAACTGATCGCAATGGAATGTACTGTTACTACATTTACCCTTCTGGTGAACGTGACTTACGTTCACGCATCTGTTTGGTGAAACTTGCACTTTAACTTTATCGTTACTGAAACATTTGAAAGCCCTACTGAAACTAACGCTTCATTGATTCTTATATCAGTCTGTCTGCTTGATTCACGGAAATGCATGCTACATAATGAAATACATAAGCTGTACATAATCTGTTTTGAAACTGTATATCCGTGTTTGCCAAAAGAATGGCTGTATATATAGATTGAAAAATTTTTTGCTGCTGTTTAAAACTACGTTCTTCTCGTTTGGAGTTTTTTTTTTTTATTCAATTTGATTCTAATGATGCTTTAATTATCAATAATGCTTACTATGTAGGGATAATAATGCCTACAATTGTTACTGAGTCACTCCTTTGGCATATAAATCAAAGAGTGAGCTTGCATAATTTGTTGGGTAGTTTGGTTTTAATTTCCTCTTGAGACAGAAAGGCTGGTTTTTGTTGGCTTTGTTTGTTTGATGCGCAGCATGCTGCCTTGCTCATAAAACCACACAACCCAGGAAGTACACCCGTGAGATTAGGCCGCTCAGTTTTTTACGTTTAAAAGTCTCTGTATATTCTGAGACAAAATAATCATTGCATAAAATATTGTTCTTGATTTTAGTGTACATTTGATGTTAAAGTTGTTAACCTCATGAAGGCACCTTTTACATCGCTTCTACCACAAAACCATTATCAAAGATTAAAAATGTTAATAATGTCAATAATGCATATTGGAAAAAATCATCATAAGCAAAGTGACTATAATATATGGAGCCATAAAATAATCTGCCATCTAAAAGTCTGTTAGCTTCTATTAAAATAATAAATGACTTCTATAAAAAAAAAAAATTAAAAAAAAAAGATATTTAAAATTGTGCCAACTTAATAATTTCTTTTCAATTGTACACCCATGAAACCTGCAGTAGATACAAACTTGAGCGCCAAGAGCCACTAAGAGAAGAGCCGTTCATACCATGTTGAGTTTCTGGAACAGGTAGAGGAAGCCTCCGAAGGTCAGTATCATTAACAGCAGTAGCATCACTGACAAAAACTTGACTAAAGATGTGTTGCCCGTTGGCCGGGGTTTGCTGTATCCTGCCCGTGGAGGCACCGGCGGAGGATTGTAGCTAGTGTGAAAGGTGTTTATCATGATGAACAGAGCACGAGTCGATTAGAGAAGAGACGTGTACTCCAGTGGCACCCATGCACTTCTGAAGAGCTGCTCTCAATGCAAGCAAGCTCATTTGAATGCAACTTCCTGAAAGATGTTACCTTTTTTAGATGGGCAGAGAATTCTGGCGTATGTGTTTGTGCACAATTTGGCATAAATAAGCATGCGTCCTCATAGCAGGCACTAGAAAGGCCTGATTCCATGAGGTCACACATTTTTGCACAAAGGTCATTGTCTTTGCAGATTCAAAATCTGCAGTTTGAATGTGCTGTTTTCTGATTTTGTGAACAAGTATTTGTAAAGAATTTGCTTTAATTAAACTAATATCAAAACTTGTATGAGTAACATTGCATTAGATATAATAGCAAACCAAATGGCATCTTACAAACAAATAATGTTAGATCTTTTCTCAGAAATAACATTTTCGCAATTACTTTTAATCAACTGATCCCAAAGTGCTTTTTAATGAGTGTAAGAAGACGTTCACACAGGTGTCCTATTAGAGGAATCATAGTTCATCACATTGACTATGAACATGATCCACTAATATCTGACAA